TAGGGAAACATGAGAAAAAAAATCAGATTCATTAGTCCTGCTCTGAAAATGGTATAAAATCTCATCAGTTTTGGAAGGGATGATGTAATTAAGATTTCTTTACAAGTGAAAAAGAGGTAGTCTTTTGACAGAGTTTGAAAATAGAGATTGCTCTTTTTTTTTCTCTCTCTTTTTTTTTTTTTTTTTAACAAAAACTTCACAGCAGGGTGATCAGGAACTACCTTGATACGAAAAATGACAGAAAACTAAAATAATGAAGATGACATTCTCTTTCTTTTGGGTATTGTAAAAGCAGCAGTAACTCGGCTGTAGGCAGCAGATACTAAACCCCTGTGTTGTGAAACAAGGAGGTCATACGTCTTTCCATTCTGATCGATTCAGCTGAATGCTACCTGTTTGAAGTGCAAGACAAAAAAGACAGCTGCTACTGCTTGAAGTGGCAAATGCCAAGTTTTAAATGCATTTGAATAAAAACCTTATCTACAGATAAAAATCTGTAGATTTATTGTGTGATCTTTGCCAATTAACTTTTTGTTATTTCGTCCTGATTTTTGAATCCAGCGCGGCTCACTCCAGCCCTGCTCCCTTTTTCTTTTGTCAGCAATTTCTACCTGCTGCTTGCTCTGAAAAAATGCCTTTTCTCTCTCCTGCATGACTCAGCTCGTGCTTCTGGACTTTGTCCCGTTTCTCTCTTCCATCCCTTTTCTTCCCTGCACTCCACTGCTACCAGATGTTTGAGACATGGTTTAGTGGGTTTAGCGGGCATGGTGGCATCGGGTATACGGTTGGACTTGATCATCTTTGAGGTCTCTTCTAACCATAATGATTCTATGATGCTGGATCCTACCGGTGCTGAGTTTATATGGAGATCCGCCACTGCTCATTTCAGTTGCAGAGGGGAGCTGCGTGGGCAGGACCAGCGGAAGCATCATCGTGGGCATTGCCACGTCCCTGCCTAGCCAGCTGGCTTAAGAGTGTAGTTTCCTTCCTCCTATCCTGCCATCTCCCTCTATTAACGTCATTGCCAGCTCTGCACAGGCACGTGGCTACTCCTCAGCTCTAGCCAGCTTCAGAGTCCATTTACATCTCTTAAGGTAGATGCAACCTACCTCACAGCTCAAGCAGATCTGGGTGAGGTGTCTTCAGAGGGACTACCTAGGCTGCCTAAATGAAAGAGTCAAGTGGACAAAATACGAAATTGTAGAAAGAGGAGGTTATCCTCCAGAAAGAGCTGGAATGGCCTATCCTGGTCAGAAAATTTACCCGATGAAAGCTTTAAGTTTTGGGTTTTCTTGAAGTCCCAAACTGTGAGGTCCCGGGCATCACCATCTTCTCCCTATGACCCATCCTACACTTTTCTAACTATTTGAATGAGTGTTTGGCTTCTAAACTCCGCTTTCCTCCTCCTATGCATGTTACAAGGAGGAGGACCAAGCTAGCCTTTCCTTCTCCTGTGTCTTCATCAGAATGTAGCTTGCTTTTAAGGAAGTCTACGGTTGGACTTGATGATCTTTGAGGTCTTTTCCAACCATAATGATTCTATGATTGCTTGCCTCTCCTTCATAAACCAGAAAGATTTTGCCCCATGAGGCAAGTTTCTAGTAGGACACAACCGCTAACCTCTCTGCCTGAGAAGAGATGACTCACCAAACGCTTGCTAACTCAAGCATGGGTAAAGAGAGGTCATTGCTGCTTTCTATGGCATTTTAACCATAGCACACACAGCAAAGTGTGTGGGAATATACACACAATTGCTTAATTAGTCCCTCATTGAAAACACTGATAAAGCACTGGCACAGCTTTGTTAGTTCACAGTCACATTCCTTGTGTGCCTGCTACTATATTTCTACAAACAGTGAACTCCTTGGGTTTGTGTATGGATTTAAAACCGAAACAGAAGGCAGTGACCATTTAAAAATACGTCTATAGAAACCTATTATGTCTGATTCCTTTTTGTACTACTGCTTCATTACCCCTGACATGGAGATTATGAGCGTAGCACAATGATACATGTCCTGGTGATGAGATAAGCAATTGTGCTTATCTTAGCTGCGCGCAGCCTAGCCTAGGCTTTTTTTTGTCATTAAACTAACCATTCGCAGATGTGATTTTGTGGGTGTTGT